CGAGAGGTGTGTCCGCCTGCTTCCAGCCCAGGCGGACGGCGATGGTGCAGTCCGCCCGAGATATCGGGTCGGCGATGTTATCCTCCGAGGTCACTCGATGGAAGGTAGGCCTCCATGAATGCATTGCCGCCAGGAACCAGAAGGCGGAGAGTAGGCCGTTGACTGATGGGTCTCGACCGTAGCCCTTATTGAGCGCCCACTGGCCTGCAGCGTTGTCTATGAAGGCCACCCAATCCTCGCCCAGGACGTCGGCGAGGGTCACGACTGCGAGGATTTGAGCGAGGACCTCGTAGGCTCGCCTGGTGTCGAATTTCCGCACGAACCAGGCCGGCACTGAGCCGGAGTCATACCATGCGGTGTCGCCCACCCGGACGACGTAGCCCCAGCCGCTGGCGCTTCGGTGGTGATGTGCCACCGGGGCATTGGCTGGCACCCATCCTGCTTTGTGTCGGAGCTCGCCTTCCAAGAAGAAGGCGTCGGCGTACACCATGCAGTTGACCGCCCGCGGGGCGGTGAATGGTACCAGGCGAGGTGGGACCTGTTGCAGCAGCGCCGCAATGGCCAGGAGTGCGGCCTGGAGCCCAGGAGTGAGCTCGGATTTGTCGCCCGAGTGGGCGCCAGATCTGGCGTAAATGGGCGCCACCGCCGCCCGCCCCACCTTACCAAACACTGTCTGGTTGACAAAATTGAGCTTGCCCGCCAGCGGTGGGCTGTCTCCGGGGTGAGGCGATTCTCCTGAGTGGCCGCCTCAATGATGCCGAGGATCTTCTTGAGGCGCCTCTCCGTCAGCGCGTGGCGCCGTCGCGTCCCAGGCTGAGCTGGACCCCTTGGACCACATGGGACCGCCCGGGCTGCTGCGTAGGCGTTGCCCAGAGCCTGACTGTTTCGCCTTGTTGGGCCAGCCGAGCCGATATATTCACGAGGTGGGTCGATGAGGCGGTGGAGCCCGTGGAAGTTGGCAGCAGGGACACATCGCCGCGGCCAGCCCGGCGGTCCCTTGCACCTGACGGGCGGTGAGCTTCTGGCGCAGGTACGCCCAGTTGTCCGCCCGCAGCATGTTCAGGGACGTGGGCGTCTGGTAACAGCCATCCTGGCGCAGGCCAGCCCGGTCAGCCAAATGCGCCCTATCATGTCGAAGCCCTCTGTGAGGTCCGACTTGATGCCGTCCATGTCGGGGTAGCCCAGCTCATCCAGGAGGTAGAGCATGAGGGGCACCTGAGTAGGCGTGTCCTTGTCAGGCGTTGTGTAGAGGCTGCCGAGGCGGTGGTGTGGTCTCGCCAGTCTCAGGCCAAGTCAGAGAGCTCCTGCATGACCTGGCTGCGTATTCGAGCCACATCGTGGCCCGCCCTCGCACCCAGAGTCCAGACCGGGCTCCAAGGAGTCATGCGTGGGAAGCTGGGAGGGCTGCCCCTTGCGTCTTCAAGGCGGGCTTTTGTGGACGCTGAGTGGCAAGTCCGCCTGGCCGGGCGGCTGGTCCGTTCGTGCGGGGGCCGCATTGATAATGAGCAGCGCGGCCGCCCTCCAAAAAGGTGTGGGGAAGGTGTGGGGGGCGGTCGAGCGCCAATAATCACCCCCCCCTTGTCTGAGGGCTGGCAGGTGCTCATGGAGCCCCAGGAGCACCGCCCGGGCCACCAGCTCTGGCTTGGGCGTGAGTACTAGTTGCTCTTGAGCCAAGCAAGGAGCCCTGCAGCGGGCGGTTTGAGCCGAAGCAATCCTCCTCTGACAAACGCCACGAAACCACCGCCCAACAACAAGCAAGACGGCAACAGGGGTCAGAGTACGCCTGTGACCACCTCAAAGTGCGCCTCCCCAGACCACGTCGGCTCCTCCAACAAGGCGAAGGGAGAGCGAAGAGACTACCAGTCGAGGGAGCCAAAGACCACCACAAATGACGCCTCCGCTGACCACGTCCACCGCCTTCCGCTCCTGGGCCGTCGGCAGCCCGAGAGCGCCTTTGACACCTTATGTGGCCCACGCCACCCGCCTTTTCGAAGGCGGATGCCGCAGTGCTTGCAGCGATGCGGGCGGTGCGGTCGGGGCGCCCCGGCCATGATGGGCCTAACGCATCGCCCTACGCCACAGCAGGCGTTACCTGAAATGCAGGGCGCCATGCACCATTTCAGGACGCGTCCCTCGTCCCGGGCGTCTGGGGTGATGCTGGCCGGAGTCCAGTGGCGTGGCAGGCGCTGGATGAAGAAGTAGCTCGGAGGCGGGGGGCATTCGAAACTCGTCAGCCTCGATCGCCCTCTCGATCTCATGGATCTGGGCGAGCTCTCTTCGGCAGAGGCGGAGCGAGGCGGGGTCGGTCACAGGCTCGGTCGTGATCGCCCCCTCCGACTGTCAAAGGCGCACCTGCTGCGCCTGGAACCGCGCTCATCCTTTCGAAGGGGATGTCATGCTCCAGGCGGTCTGGCCGCCGGAGCGGATTGCGCGGTCTGACCCTCAAAGGCGGTGGAATGGCAAGGCCTTGCTTTGGCCCCTGACGCCCTTTCCGCCCGAAGGGCGAGCGCCCTTTTGGCCTTTGCCCGCCAGTTCGGCCTGCTCCTGGGCGAACTGCTCTTGGAGCTCTCGCCCGATGTTAGGCGCGGCGCCCTTAGCACGGGCCTGGGCCTCTTGCCGCTCTGGCTGGGCTTCTCTGCGGTGCAGCGCCCGAAGCAGCTCAAAGATCTCGGGCGCCGAATGACGGCTGTAGCTTTCGAAGCTCATCCCGAGTCTTGCTGCTTCCGCCTGCTGCAAGGCGGTGTGGAAAGAATAATGCTCTGGCCACTGGCTCGAGCTCGCCCCCGGGCCGTGGCCCGAAGCCGTCGCCTCCATGGGGGGCGGCGGGCGGATTGGAAACGCCCAGCGGCTGGAGCGCGTGGGCAAATTCCGCCCCGCGGGGTCCGTCTTATAGGGATGGTCGCCCCTTGGACCGGCGTATTGCTCAGGTCCGTAGGCGGGGCCTGCTGGTCGCCCGGCAATGCGCAAGGCGCAATACCGGGGGGGGGCGGCTTGTACGATTGGGGAATCCGCCTCAGATAAGGCGGGTGGCGCCTTCTTCGGGGGCCCAGGCTTCGCCTGTGCGAAGCAAGCGGTATGGAAGGCGTTGCCGCCCCATCAATTTCGTCCGCCAGTTGGCGGACCGTCTGCTCTGCCCCCGTGCGGTGGGCAGCACTGGGTCTGGATCCGCCCGTTGAGGGCCGATCTTATTAGCCCGTGAGCGGGTCGCGCCCGGAGTGGGCGGCCCCTTGGGCGTGGTCTCTTCGCCCTGCTGGGGCGGTGTCACGCCCGGCTGGGCGTCGTCCGCAGCCAAGGTAGTAGGCGCCGTGGCTGCTATAGAGGTCGGTCCAGCCGTAGGCGCCGATGAGGAAATAGTGCCGCCAGCGGCAGCGGCGGTGTCCTCGGGCTGTTCGCCCAGGTATGACTCAAGAGAAGTGGGACCGCCCGAAGCAGGCGGCCACACTGGATCTTGCGTCGCCATGCTGGCGGTGGGAGAAGAGACCGCCGCCAAGAACGATTCGCCCAAGGCGGGGTCCAAATTGTTGGCGAGGGCCTCCTCAAGGTCCGCCTCGTTGATGGAGGCGAGGCGCCTCAAGTCGGCAGCGGCGGCAGCAGCATTGTCAGAAGCCGCCATGGGTCAGGCGGAACTAACAAAGAACAGGGGCACAAAAAGGCGGTTCGAGCAATCAGGCTGCGGTGCGCGCCCGATTGCTCCATGTTCATGCGCACACAAGTGTGCTACAAGACAAGTCAAAATCCAAACTAGAAGTGGAATCAACGGATGAAACCACGCCGAACAAAAACTGGACAAAGCAATCCAGAAGCCAGCAACTGAACCATGCTGCACCTCAGCTCTCATAATCCTTTCTTGGTACCCTCTTTGCGGCCGTAGTCCCGGAAACGGGTCAGTAGGACGCTCAGGAGTTGCGTAGATGATCCATCATCGGAGCATCAACAGACAAACAGAAACGCTCCCGCAAGCCCACACATACCACCAGCCAGCAACTGAACCATGCTGCAC